AGCAGACAGGATATCCTGTCCAAACACTGTTAGTACACCTCTTTCTTCTCATTGAATTAAGCGAAAGTAGCTGTAAATTTATCCTATTTTGTATATATAAATACAAAATGATCTTTCCTTTGTATCTTTTTTTATTGTCTATCAGAGGTGAGTATTCTATTGGCATCTAAATACTATAGGTGTTTGAATTCAACTAAACAATCTAACACTGTCTAGTAGTTTATAATATTAGTGGGTTATCCTCAGAAGTTATTGACTTGAGGCTTTTACAGCTCATTGGGTCAGTTCTCGTTGTCAAGTAGGGATGCTTCCCTAAGCATTGGTCTCCAGATTTTTCATTGGTGGTGGGCCACATAGATATGGCTGGCATTCTTATGTGCCTGACTTTCAGTCTTCAACTACTCCAGGCATTAGTGTTACACCACATGGCCCAAGATCACAACCATAAATCACACATAAATCATCTGGAATGGTCCAAAGCCTTAGATAAACAAGGTCACTCTTTTGCCATCTCTCTCCCCCCACCCCACTCCCTGAGTACTGGGAATCAAATCTAGGGCCTTGCCCATGCTAGCTAAGCACTCTACCTGTGAGCTATATTCCAAGCCAATTTTATTTTGACACAGGGTCTTGATAAATTGCCTGGGTTGGCTATGAACTTACAATCATCTTGCCTCAGTCTCCCAAGTCTCTGAGAACAGGCATGCACCTGGCTGCAAGGACACTCTTATTAGGTAGGACAGCCTAATAAGCCTAGAGCTTATTTCTAAGTAGCCAGAGAAGGGATTAAACCTTTGTTTAAAATTTGCAAGGTTTAGGGGCTGGGGAGATGGCTCAGTGGAATAAGTGCTTCCCTGGCAAGCGCCAAGGGCCTGAGTTCAATCCCTGGTTCTGCCAACAATATTAAAAAATAAAATAAAGTAAAATTTGCAAGGTTTGAGTAACTCAGATTTGCTGAATTTGTGTTTTACTACCCACCATTCTAATGGACTAAACAGAAAGAGCACATGATTTCTTATAAAACTTCAAAAAAAACTGGATAAAATTCAACATCTATTTATATTTCTAAGAGAAAATCTTTGCAAAAACCAAGAATAAGAGAAAACTTCATTAAATAGAAAAATAGATCTCAAAACCTGTAATAAACTACACAGAAATTAGTCCCGGCCACTTGAATAAGTCATTTTTTGGGGCTGGAGAGATGGCTCAGTGGTCTAAAGCACCTACTTGAAACAAGCTTGGCAAAGCACAGGGACCGCGGTTCGATCCCCAGCACCACATGCCAGCCAGACCCGCCCCCTGGTGGGCTGAGCTGG